TAGTTTCATGTCAAACGAACTGTCACAAGTGAGGCAAAAATCAAATTCATGTAGGCTAGTTTTAGTGGTAGGTTAATTTTCGGTTTTAGTGAATATTTATATAAAAATACAAGTTAAAACGCGTTACTTCCTTGTGGAATGTGATGTTAGTATCTATTTTATGTTTGTCTGACGTATTTTTACACTAATTTACCGCACATTTCGTCATTTTTAGCTAAAAATCTTGATCTGTTCGCGGTGCAAGTTGACCTTGAGCACTGATGGCCCGCCCGCTCGTGTAGGCCCACTGGGAGCGCTTCAATTTGCCTCAGCGTGTGCGGACTAGGTTTCTATGCGTTATTATTCTAAGTTCCTACATTAAAAAAGAACGCGTCCATAGTAGATATTCAATAATAAAAACTGAATCGTGTCCATCAATCACCATCACTTATTGTGAATGACATAGCCAGACTGGTCTAATAAGAAAGGTGCGCCCTTGACCCCTCTAGTATTTTGTTCACCGTTCTTTTTTTGTGCAAAAATATTTTCACATGCGTATTCACACTTTAGACTTATCTTCTATAAATGCGATATTATCTTTTAACGATTTCGTTTAGCGTACTCATTCGTTAGCAAACAATATTTTTTTCTACTCCCGCAGTTTAATCTGAGAGTTCTAAATCAAAATTCTATTGTCTATGGTACTCGCTATTGAACTGAAAAAAAATCTCTGCGCAAAACTATAAAGAGTTTGCAAGGGCGGGAAACTCGAAAGAGCAAGGCGCGTTTTTAAAAATATTATTTTCTGAAAATTATAAAATAATAGTTTAGATAGTTGAATTCCCGCATTATGTACACGTGTGATCGGCCAATATGCCGAAATCTAAAAAAAACGAAAAAGGGATGATGTTCCACCAGACGACGGACTTTCCAGCAACAGCAGCAGCGACTCTGAAGAAGAGTCTGTGTAGTATGATACATTCAGGGCTACTAACTACAAAAGGAAGTTGACCTAAATAGCAACATTAGTGGGTATATTGTATTACTTTCGCATACAGATCAACAGGCTTCTATTACGGACAAAAGTAGAATGACGATTTCCCAAGGTCTCAAAAACACTGACACCGAAGCCATAAGCACCTCCGCTCTATTAGCAAATATAAGGTGGGTGTCGTTTTCGACGCGGCCAATTAAGCCAATGTATTTATAGACAGTTCAAAATTCTTTGAAGAAACGAAATTGGTTCCTTCCATTCCGGCTGGAGCTACGGAAGTGACTGGCGTTGTTCGCTATGTACCAGTGTCCTTTTCCAACAAGAAGATATTCTCAGCAATTAACAGCTCAAAGAATTTTTTTATGAAAACTAACGCGGTTATCACACATTATAATATAAAAGTAATCGATGGTCTTCGATTATGGTCGAAATTAGTCTAAAACGGCTAAAAGAACGTTTAGAATTTTTCGTAGAGGGGAATGGTATACTACCTAATAATCAATTCGGCTTTCGAAGAGGCAGATTAGCACAGGGGAGTATAAGTCATCTTCAGCTAGATATTTACAATGCTGTCTCTTGAAAAAGAAAACTTGTATGTATTTCTTTGCCATAGTCGATGTATTTAACAATGTAAATCTTGCTATATTTTCAAATGAATTGATCTCCATTGATTTGCCTCGAATATTAATTAATTGGATTTACACTTTTCTTAATTGCAGGGAAGTTTATGTCAAATACAATAATGGTCTTATTGGCCCAAGATTGTCATATAAGGGTCAAGGCAGTATTCTGAGCCCACTGATATTTTTATTGTACATAAACAGAATTACCACTGAATTACGACCAAATGTAAATACTCTACTATATGCCGATGACCTAGCTGTTTATTGTTCAGGACCTGATCTAAGTGCAATTAAATTAAAATTGAGTTTTGCCCTTATAAACTTCAAAAAGTATTTTGAATACCTTAACTTGGAAATAAATGTCTCTAAAACTAAAGTCGTAGTATTTAGTACCCAAGTAACCGCTCACGCGATGCGCTCATCCTACCGCAAAATGGCGGCTATTTGGTTTCGCAAATTAGAAAAGGATTCAGTTTAAATACAAGTTTTTATAAATAAAAATTATTATTCCGCATTGCTAAATAAATACCCTCCGTACTACAACAAAAACATCTCAAATAAAATGCAGTAATACACCGCAAATCTTGCACTTAAAAAGCACTAATGACATTTTTGGTTTACTTGGGTAAATATGATAATATTCCGTTTGAGTGGTTCTAACGTTTACTATGAAATTACTCCTTAAAGTATAGTTTATAAACATTTATACTCAGAGTAAACTTAGAAAACGCTACTTACGGTATGTTTTCAATAAATAAACACCGAAATCACCAGCCCAAACAATAACATACACGATTGTCGTGACGTATTTTTGAAGTTGTTTATTTTTTTAAATGACAGACCCAGGCATTAAAAACTTTATGGTTTGCTAGAGTAGTTACCGAAATAGCAATGAATATTAGTTCTTTTACCTGTTATAACTTCGAAATCCGGATAAATCGGTATAAAATCATCACCGGCACCTCTCGGTGTGGTATGCGTCTACGGCTGCATGTATCGCGTGAGCGGCTATGACCCATTTCTTAAGTTTGGCAGAGGTCACAAACTCAACTCTACGGCTAATATTTTCACGGCAGAAGCCACAGCTATACTGTCAGCGCTGCACAATATTAGAAGCCAAAGAAATCAAAATAACTGGACAATATTGAGAGACAGCATGAGTCTTCTCACAACTTTATCAAATAATAGACTGGATTCATCATTAAGTTACATAATTTATAAAATCAAGCATACCTGGACAGAGCTGAAGAAAATAGGCATTAATATTATGCTGATGTTGATTCCTGCCCACAAGGGTGTTCTTGGAAACGAGAAAGCTGACTTCCTTGCGAAATCCTTTGCAAACTTTGAAAATGCTAATGACCATTGTCATTGTCAATACTTTGACCATGTCCTACCTTATCAAGACTGTGTTGTCTTAATAAAGCTAGAAGTTAATGCGAATAGGAACGTTGAATGAAACAATACAACCACTAGAATACAGAAAGGCCTTTGGTACGCCGGCATTGAAGGTACTACAGTGAATAAGAGATCCTGGTTCACTGAAACACTACCTAGACAAAGAAAATTTTATGCCACTATAACTAGATTAAGACTTGGACATACTCGACTAAACAGTTATTTATACCGGATGAAAATGATTAATTCCCCTGAATGTGCTTACTGCCAAGACGGCGATCAGACTCCAGATCACATCATCTTCACTTTGGCGTTCAGCTCCTTCTGCTGATGGACCGGCTGATTGAAATTTATAAGAAAGTGGACGCCCAGCGCAGTATTCAAGGACTATTAAGTAATACTGAGATCTTCGGAGCAATTTATGAATTTATAATAAATACTGTTGAAGAGATTTAAATTGTAAAGAACAGAAGGGTATTTTAATGGACAAGACTATACCTATTGATTCAAGACAAAAGTTATATTTAAAAATAGACTAGGCTGTATGGTCCATAGACCTTTGCCTTTCCGCAAGGAAAAAGGAAAAAAACTGTAATCAGTTTCAAAAAATAACGTCGTGCTTTTGCTAATTAAAAATCGAATATGACGCTACTCAAACGCTCTACTGCTTCCTGATTGGTTAAATTGGTCTTGAAAAAAAAAACTTGAAAAAAAAAGTCTTGCAACCGGGCCGTAAATTGTTATAAAATAAGGGTTGGTTAAATAATAAGCGGTACTTGGCCACGTCTATTCTATCTCTTTGTTTTTTTTTTGTTTGAGTTTGTTGTCACGAATTGTTAACAAAATATATATGAAACATAGGTTATTATTTCTTAGAGTAACATAAACGCGGTTAAGTTATAATAATAATAAAAATATTTTTTTGAGATATCATAAAAGACCATAACCCAGTTTTAGAATATTGAAATTATTTCATAATATTTCAGCTTTGCATCGTTAGGGCAAGTTCCGATAAGTCGAGTCTTTTTTATAGAATAACAATTTTCTTAAGGGGCCGTCTCAAGATCCCTCCAGCGGTCTGTACGTCTACTACACATACAGCTTCGTCGCGTGCTATAGTTATAACCATTTTACATATAATAAATTAAATACCCACTGCACTTTTATTCTTCACTAGTTCACAAAACTGGCGAAAAGAACCACATATTCTTGGTGAGGACTGTATATTATTATTTCTTAGAGAAAAAAAACGGTTGAACATCCTACTTCAATACATATAATAGACAATAAAGGAAACAAATACAATATAGAAAAATAGTTCCTAAAGAATGGTTCATTTATTCGTAGAAAAATTATTGTATGCAATCATTACGTAATTGGATCTTAAAGTCTCGTACCTATTAGGTACTCGACTGAAGTCACGTTTTCGTTACTATAAAATTTCCAAAGAATTTTGATTTTTTTTATAATATCAAGTGACGGGACGAACAAGTCGTGCGCCTGATGGTAAACTACACGTCAGTCCATAACAGTTGCAGTGCAACGCAGAGCTTTAAATCGCAAAGATCTGAAGGGCACTGCCACTGCGCCTGTCACCCTGAGACAGAAGTTAGAGTTACCGCGTGACATACATACAAAAAATGAAAGAAAAACACAGACGAATTGAGAACCTACTCCTTTTTTTGAAGTTAGTTAAAAATTGAAATTTTTTTTTGAACATTGAATAATAAAAACAATTACCGATAAGCGGAATATTCGTGACATCTCTATTATGAATATACAAGCTTCAACATTTCCTGGATGTATGGAGCGGAGGTGTACTCTAGAGAGAGGATTTGGAGTCACACCAGTACGCCATCCTAATGCCATGCAATTATGGATCACGAAGCGTCCTTCAAAATTTTTATGAAAATGCATCTTGCAGACTTCTTTAGAAATTTTATACCTGATATAATGGCAATTAAGATATTGATTTGTCTATCTTTCTTCCAGCATCGGGACACCCAAGAAACCCTCGCCGTCCTCGACCGTCTGGACTTGGATACAGAGAAGCCGTCTGAAGAAGAAGTAGCCCGCAAGTTCGGCTTCGAAGAAGATTACTACAACGGCACCGTATCGTGGTGGCAGCAGTTGAAGCCTCAAATGTGGTCTCTATTTGATGAGCCCTATAGTTCAAATGCTGCCAAGGTAAGATTTCGTCTTTGATAAAAAGTAAATGAAGGAACAGCACTCATAATCGATTATTTCACTCAAAGATTTTTTTTTGTAACGCTGCTACAGAAACCCTGTGTCGCGGGTGCCATGAACACACACATAGACAACCACAAATTAAAATAGAATATAATAGACATTTATTGCAACACCACAACAAAGATATAAAAATAATAACACAAAGAAGAAAAACAAAATTAAAGAAATAATAATTAATTAATAAACAAAATAAAAAATACAATAAAAACAACATTAAATAAGACAGATCTGACAAAAAAACAAATTATAATGACTACAAATTTTGTACTGTACGCAAAAGTACATGGAAGTAAAATTACACCCAAACTCACGAGAGAAATAAATGTAGGCCATACAAATATTTCTCCCGGCCCGGGAATCGAGTCTCGAGAATCGAGACCTCGGCGTGGCAGTCCAGCATAGTAACTGTTCGGCCACCTAGGCAGTTAAATAGATTCATAATCGATTACGTCTCATGCCATGAATGATGTGTATGTTTGGTATTACGCATTTTAAATTACTTAATTATTACTCAAATTGATTTTTTTCATTGTTTATCTCAAATTTTATTTATTCTGTGCCTAATTTTCTACAATTATTTGAACTTCGAGAGCCACTTGCGAGTTTATCCGGGGAAGTACTGCACGTTGCTTATATCTGCTGCCAAACAGTAATACGTTTCGGTTGTGAAGGGTAAGGGTGCTGGTGAAATTAGAGGCACATGGGACTTGTCAACTTATGTCTCAGGATGACGGGCGCTACGGCAGTGCCTCACAGATCTTAGTGTTTTAAAGCTCTGAGTGGTTCGCAACTGTTATGGACGTGTTCCGTAATTTAGTATCGCCTGTACCCATACCCTTTAAAACCAGATCACACTAATCCTCATATTACTGCTTGGCGGCAGTAAGCTCGCAGTACTTCCTTGGACGAACTCTTTCACAAGGAGCTTTCTGCCGCCAAGCAGTAATGTAAGCATTATTGTTTTCAAAAATCAAAATCAAAATAATCTTTATTTCATAGGTAAGCATTATTATGCTTGAAATCGTCACACTGGTTAAACTCTACCGCTCATTAGTAAGGCTCATTAGTAAGAAGAATGAGCAAGAAACTCTAGGGGTTGCTCTTTATAAGTAACATTTGTACACATTTACAATTATTTTTTGCTTTGAAACATCATAGATCGAGACTACCTCCATGAGCTAAACTTGTTACTTACTTACCGCGGATTTTCGTCATCCAAGTACGCAGAAGTTGTATAATAACCTTTTGCATAAAGTTTTTGTTTCACTATAGTTTTAAATCTATAGAATGGTAAGTTTTGTATGTCAACCGGAATCTTGTTATAGAAGCGAGTATTGCCCCTTAAATGAATTGGTGACTTTGTGAAGACAACTATCAAGAACAACTAGTTTTCTCGTATTAATGTTATGTCTGTCACTATTTTTCATAAAGTAATTACTATTCCTCGCGCTAGTGTAAGAATTTTAATTTCCTTAAACTTATCTCTCAAAGATACTCTGGGGCCCAGATTGTAAATGGCCCTAACCGCACCACGTTTCGGTTTTAAAGAGTAAGGGTGCTGGTGAAATTACAGGCACATGGGACTTGTCAACTTATGTGACAGGTACAGTGGCAGTATGCCTCAGATCTTTACAATTGAAAGCTCTGAGTGGTACTGCAACTGCTATAGACAGGCGTGTCGCTCAACATCGTACGAACGAATAAACTGGATTCATCTCGTAATTTGCTACCCTTAGAAGTGGAATATATTTTTCGTCAGATTTAAATGACTAGTACTAACATACCCCCATTTTCAGCAAAAGAGGAATCACCGGAATCGGTTTCGCGTAACATAGGCAAAAAAATATAGACGAGCTAAGAATCTCCTTAAAAACTAGACTGACACTAACAACTAGGTTCTACCGCCTATTAAAAAACCTTTCGGTTAATGGGGCAGTGATATGGTCTTAATATGATGTTGATGATATACCACGCCGCGCCTCCAGAGCCGAGTCCGAAATCGGCCATTACTCAGGATGATGTGCAAAGGATTTTGCGGGATGTAATGGAGTCCCAGCTTAAAGAAATGATTGCCACCCTTAACCGTAACATCGTGGACATGCTTTGTAGAGAGTTAAAGCCTCTAAAAGAGGATATTTCGGGAATTGTTGCATCTATGGCTTTCCTAAGTGACCAATACGAGGATCTAGCTAAGGAGAACAAGATCGTCAAACAAGAAGTATCAGAATTAAGCCAGAAATTGGAACACCTAGCTTCGTCCCATGACTCACGTATTAAGTTTCTCGAAAATACCGTCGAGGAGCAGTCAAGACAACTCATCGGGAATATGCTGGAAATTCGTAATGTTCCTTGGTCACCAAAAGAAACAAAACCTGACTTAACTAAGACTGTTCTCAGTGTTATTCAAGTTGTTGCCCCGCTTATCACCTCGAACGACCTATTAGAAGTCCGGCGCCTACCCTCTAAGACGGAGAAAAAAACCATATTGGTTACTGTTACTACCAATGTCCTGAAACGAAATATTATTGTAGCTACCAGAGATTCCATCGCGAAAAAGCAAGGTAACCCACTCAACACATCAATTGTAGCTCCACATACACCACGCGAGTACATCTACATAGACGAGCACCTAACTTCAAAAGGTAAACGGCTATATTTTCTTGCCCGCCAGCTCAAGAAAAAGGGTTACTTTAAATTCTGTTGGACCGCGAATGGCAAGGTGCTGATCCGTGAAAAAGAGGAGGCAAATGCGATTCATGTCATGGATGAATCGCAATTAACTGATCTTGCAAACAAAAAAGGGTTAAATAGTGTTTCGGATTGACTATTTTTGGAGACTGTCTACTGCATCGTAACTTTTATTAGCTATATTTGCATACCAATAACAACAGAAAAAGTCTATTTTCTCAAACCTCGTTTTGTAAACAAATTAATTAATACTCTATTTTATTACGATATATTTGGAAACTCACAAATGTCTTACATACACAAACTCACTCATAAAACACTCATCTCACACAAAAATATTCTTATACATATACACCATTATGTTATCGCTTCTGAAAGTCAGCACTGTCCTCCTACTTACCGCCTGTCCACTCCAATTATACCCGTCAACCAAAAATTTTAAAATTCGCGTTACAAAACGATCTAATTCAAGAAATCGATATCACATCTGTTTCTGTACCACATAATTGTGATCCTGAACAATGTGTACATTTGATTCCCTCCTCTACAAAGTATCTCAATCTTATCACTCAGAATATCCGCAGTCTTTCAGCTAACATATCACATTTTCAGGCACTTCTTCATACCATTGTACTCCCATGTGACGTTATTATCTTAACTGAGTGCTGGCTGCAGCACAACCCCATTATTGTACCATTAACAAACTATATCAGTTTTACGACTTCCAATCCTATAAACCAAAATGATGGAGTTGTAGTCTATGTCAGCAGTCGCATTCCGGCCGTGACAGTTGGCGAGCCCAAGTTTAATGAAGCCAGTTGTCTCCTTTTGGATATTGGAACTGACATAGCTATTTTGGCTATCTACCGCCCACTATCTTTTATTATTGGGTCCATTTATGGAATCTCTAAATGAAGTTCTTTCCGTGCTACCATCAAATAAAACCATAATTGTAACAGGCGACATAAATATAGATATCACAGCCAACAACAGAGATCCGAACTCGGACAGTTACTTAAACTTGTTAGCTTCTCATGGCCTTCTACCAGCGCACAATTTTCCCACACATGGTGCCACCTGCCTTGATCACATATTTATAAGAACCAAATACTCTTCAACAACGTTAATAATTAACTCGACTGTCACAGACCATAACTCTGTCTTAATGTCAATAGACAAGAAGTTGTCAAAAACTGCGAGAAAACAAATAACAAAAATTAATTATATACAACTTGGAAAGGATATAAACCACTGTGATTTTTCGCCTGTTTTCAATGCTCCTGACGTGAATTCGGCTGCAGATTCTTTGATTAACCTATTACGACGCGCTATCCTTAGTAATTCTATCCCCATAACTATACCCCACCGCCTCAGACCTATAAAGCCTTGGATCACTCCAGGTCTCTTGCGCTGCATAAGAAACAGAAACAATATGCATAAGAAATTAAAAAAAACTCCAAATAATTTAACTCTCATAACAACCTATAAGCGTTATAGGAATTTCTGCAATAACTTACTAAAGTCAATCAAAAGATCATATGAAAAGACTAAACTTCTTGAAGCGGGATCCGACAATAAAAAACTCTGGTTGGCAATAAAAGATATTGCTCATCTGAATAAAAGTAAGTGCAATGTCGATGACCTCCTTCTTACTAAACCCAAGCCTCTGGAATCTCTAAATCACATTAATACCTTCTTTGGTACGGTCGGGAAAACTCTGGCGGAAAATATGAATTCTTGTGACAATTTTCAACCTATACCTCTCCCGCCAAACCCATACTCTTTTGCACTTCTACCAACCGACGAACAGGAGGTTCTTAGTGTGATTACATCGTTGAAAAATGATTGTGCAGTAGGATGGGATGGTATTTCTACAAAATTTATTAAAAACTACAGAAACTTAATAGCCCCTCCCTTAACTCACATATGCAACATGTCGCTGTCCACAGGTGTGTTTCCAAGATCCTTTAAAATAGATCTTATTCACCCGATATACAAAACAGGAGACCGTAAAGAAGTTAATAATTACCGCCCAATTTCAGTGCTACCCGCCCTATCTAAGATTCTCGAAAGGTTACTCAACCATCGGCTAACAAACTATTTAGAAAGAAATTTGAGCGATAACCAATATGGTTTCCGGGTAGGAAGATCCACTGCTCAAGCAGTTCTCAATTTTACCAACATGATTGTCCAAGACCTTGATAATAGAAAGAAATGTTTAGCCATTTTTCTTGATTTGAAAAAAGCTTTCGATACTGTATCACATCCAATTTTATTATCCAAACTAGAGTCATTTGGCATACGCAGTACTCAACTTTATCTTTTCCAAAGTTATCTCACCAACAGAACCCAACGTGTTATCATGGATAATCACATTAGTGATGACATTTCCATCACCTACGGAGTTCCCCAGGGAAGTATTCTGGGACCTACCTTGTTTCTAATCTACGTGAACGACCTGTGCGGGTTGTCAATTCCCGGGGGCCATCTAACTGCATTTGCCGACGACACCGGTCTATACTTCTCTGGAAATACCTGGGACGAGGTATTCACATCTGCGCAGGACGGTCTGGATGCAGTCTCAAAGTGGTTGAAATATAATCTGCTCACTCTTAACACTTCAAAAACAAAATATATAACCTTCTCAATAAGTAACCGTTACCTCCCAGATCCCATCAAGCATATTATTACCGCTCACTCTCCTCAATGTTCCAAGCTACCCTGTTCTTGCCCTCAACTAGAGAAAGCCACCGAAATTAAATACCTGGGCATCGTGTTAGATTGCAAATTGTCATTTAAACCATATATTGATCTACTAGCTAACCGAGTTCGTAAATTAATCCTCGTGTTCAAACATCTTCGACACGTCGCAGACCCTTCCGTCCTCAAACGGATTTACCTTGCCCTTTGCCAATCAGTACTGATCTACTGTATCACTACATGGGGTGGTGCCAGTAAAACCCACTTTATGGCTCTAGAGCGAGCTCAGCGGGCATCACTGAAAGTATGTACTTTCAATCATAGGCGATTCCCCACGCATTCCCTCTATCAATATTGCGAAGTCCTCACGGTCCGCCAGTTGTACATTGCTGGTACTGTTCTCCTACAGCATTGTAAAACCCCTTACTCTGTCGATAACATACGAAGAAACCACTTGGTCGCTAAACCATACCATTGTAACACCAGATTCGCCCAAAGATTTTTTGGTTTCCTTGGGCCATACCTTTATAATTCCATTCATCGGAAATTAGACATACACTCTCTACCCAAAAACATATTTAAAAGGACAGTGTCTACATGGCTGCAGAACCTTAACTACGAAGAAACAGAAGCTCTCCTTCAACCACCCGGGTGAAGCGCCGATTTTCACTCAGTCGATAGCATTTCACTCTCACTCAGTTCATTACACACTCACTCACACACACTCACTCTTCATCCCTCACTCTCTCACACACTCTCACAGTCTCTCTCATACACACGCACACTCACTCACTCACACACATTTATGCCCACTTATGGATCATATTATCATACGTATACATTCATAAGACACTAAGATGTTACCATTGCTATAATTATTTAAATTTTTAATACTATATACTTTTTATTACCATTTATAGGACTTTATGTTTAAAATATTTTATTGTATACCTAGCACTAAATTTTTTACCACATAAGTACGGATAGCTTCCTCTAAACTTAAATACCTACTCGATCTATTTGTACCTTCCTTCTGTAGCTGCTGACTAAAGCTCAGAGAATTCTATTTTAGTCAGCGGCAGTATACTCTGTATGTAATGGCCTTATCTCAACTAACGTGTTATACTTTGTACTTATATAACTTTCTCAAAACTGTACTTTACTTAATTTAAGGCTTTTTAGTGCAATAAAATTATTATTATTATTATTATTATTATTATTATTACCTTTGATCATGTCAAACCATTGACTTACAATTATATGGACGTCGGGTCCGCGCTAAAAAGTGTCCGAACTTATAGGGCGTTAAAATCGTATACAGAGCGTCATTCGCGCTTTAGTCTTCGTTTGTTCGACTGACAGCGAAGCAAGCAAAATTAGACAGTACTGCGATGACATTACAATTTAAATCCAACGTTTTAGCTTTTTCATATTCCTTTACGTGTCACTACGTTTAAATAGGTTGACTTGGGACATTTTTTTTGTGGTTTTAGTATTAGACCCGCCGTCCATTTATTTGTAAGTCAATGTCTCAAACATCCAAACTCAAATTCAAAGTTCAGTGTACCGGCAACACCTACTCTCAATTAAAAAACTGTGTAGTGCGTTTGTATTATTTTACGTAGTCTGTCTAGAATCGAATTTTGGTTTTATTTTGATGTATACATTATATACTAAATAGATTATATAACATCACAAACTCTTTACAATCACAATTTACTCCTACAGCTGTATTATATTCATACTCGCTCATGCACTTACACGTCAAATAGGTTATTTTAAATGCACTATTTACACTTTATATGTATATTATTATTCTCATGGTATAACTACGAATAGTCGTCATATTTTTGCTTTCAAATAACTTAATCCCTTTCGTTGGCCCTGACTGAAAATAAACACCTTAGAAAACTTTGGCATATGCTGAGCCAGTACCCTTTCGCAGCTATGACAATCATGTTATGTTTTTTGTTTTATGCTTAATCTGTATTTCGACTCATCCGAAGAACAGAGTCCGATGTGATTATATAGTGAAAATAGAATAGGTACGTTACGAGAACAATTTCGTTATTCAAATTAAGGCCTATGTAGAGATGTTTTGAGAATTTGTATACCTTATTTCGTTTCTGATATATAAAATCGAATAACGGTCGATCTGACATCCACAGCGAAGAAGAACGAACGAAATGTACTATGTCCTGAGACCAAGTAGTCTTACACATAGATCTTTGTTCTACGGATGAGTCGATTTGTTTTTTAACTACAAGCTATATAACCTAGCCATTGAGCGAAGATAGGATCTAGGATGAAACGAGCTCGCCCAGAAGATGTCTATTCAGTCGCACCTTTAAGATACTCGGATTGTATGTGCTCGGAAACACAGTTGTAGGCAGGGAATTCCATTCCTGGGCTGTGCGCATAATAAAAGATGATGAAAAACGCTTAGTACACCTGAAGGGAATACCGACCATGTAAGGATGATATTCCGCCGTACGTCAGGATGTCCAATGGTAAAAGGGGGCAGGCGAAATGAGCTCATGGAGCTTATGGGCATACTCACCGAAATATATTCCGTAGAAAACTGACAGACAGGCAACTCTGCGCCGGTGGGCTATCGTTATATCAGTGAATAAAGTGTTTATCTATCTATCTATCATGTGAAAATCTGTCCCTTCAGACGAGAAATTCTAGTTATTTGGACTGTCAGCACTCATTAATTTTGCATGTGTTGAATTACGTCTTTAGAGCCCGGGTTTTAATTAAAATTTATGCTAATCAAAATTTACCAAGCCTCTTCTGTTTTTAGACAAAACAAAGTTCGGACACAATTATCATATTTAATTTTATGCATAAATCATATTTTAAGACATCGGGGTCAAGAAGTCCTTCAAAAACATTGACTGTAGTCCTACATAAATTGAAAATGACTCACGTAGTGAAGTTGATTATTCCTAGCATGTGAAATAATTGATCTGTGGTTCCAACTCAAAAGATTGACAGAGTTTAATAACTATAGTTAATAGCGACATCTCTAGCCAGGACTGGTAGCTGTAAAGTTACCTAACTGGGTGACGAAATACTTTCATAGAGTTTTCATAGATGGCGCTACGGTTAAAAAGTCGTTGAATACCAAGTACAAACTTCCGACAAACAAGCACATTTGGACAAAATTTGTGAGGTCCGCTGGTTCGTTCCGTGGCTTAGTCGGCATAGCCTCCGGCACGGTTTGCTAGAAGACGTCGGATCCGGCCGGATCGAAAGAATCTTTTCTGAGTTTAATATTTTTCATTTCACTTTTCAAACTGACGGGGTGTTGTGTTTATATTGCAAACTACTACTCTACGATAATAATTTTACAGAGATGCATTTAGTCGAATATGCATATAAAGCATCTAACTGACGATAGCATATACTTAATCCTTTTATGACTCAACTACACACACCAGCATAATAATGTAGTGGCAAGCTAGCTAAATCTCCAAAACAAGGAGGAGGTCCTCATTTTTTTTGTGTATATGCTACGATGTTGGTCCGACATACGACCGACATCGTTACGAGTACCTCTGTAGTAGCAGTATTCAAATTTGAGGAAAATATTTCTCCTATAAGGGTGGCGAATTAGGGGATGAATCCGATTCATTGGTTTCCATTCACTTCCTGTTAACCAATTCAATAAAACTTGACAAATAAATTTAATTAATTGAGGTCTAACTTTTGAGGCTTTTTTATAAAAAAGTTATAATAATAGTTCTTACATGATGCCAATAGATGTAAGATTTATTTATTTATTTAAAATGGATAGCCAACATAATACATACTTATGCATAATATAACTAACAAGGCACAATCAAATTTTAAAAGCGTTTTAAAGGGTTTTCCATTAAGGGCGGGTGGATTTGACAGTTCATAGCGGCCATATTGTTGAGGTTGCTTTTGTGAAATCGGTTGTTAATTTTTCAGTCACTAAAAACAAAATCATCATGGCAAATTATAGCGGCGGGCAAACGTTAATGATTGAAATTTATTATTATACAAAATGGGTGTTCTATTGTGGCAACGAGGCTTTATACCATTATACAATGGTACAGTTGCATTTTCACTTTTTATAACAGATTTAAAATGCATTTTTCTAACACCTCTACAAACAAATGTTTTTGAAATAAAATTATCTTTATTAATTTGTGCAATCAAGTACCTAATAACTTACATATGCACGCTAGCGAAAACCTTCGAGAATTTAAATTATAACTTTTGTTTTTATTTCCAGATAATCGGCGTAATATCAGTGTTCTTCATATGCGTGTCAATCATATCGTTCTGCCTGAAAACCCATCCGGACATGAGGGTTCCAGTGATCCGAAACTATACAGTGACAACCGCGAATCAAACGAAAAGCTGGGCTTTAGACAAAACGCAAACAAATGCCCATATAGCTTTCTTTTACATCGAGTGCATGTGCAACGCGTGGTTCACTTTAGAGATACTTGTTCGTTGCATATCATCCCCAAATAAGTGTGACTTTATCAAATCTTCCGTAAACATCATTGATTATATTGCCACCATGAGTTTCTACATTGATCTCATTCTTCAGAAATACTTTTCCCATTTGGAGAACGCCGATATTCTCGAGTTCTTCTCCATTATAAGGATAATGAGACTTTTTAAATTGACGAGGCATTCGTCTGGTTTGAAAATTTTGATTCAGACGTTTAGAGCGTCCGCAAAAGAACTGACTTTGTTAGTATTTTTCCTAGTGTTGGGTATAGTGATATTTGCGAGTTTGGTCTACTATGCGGAGAGGATACAGACGAATCCTCACAATGACTTCAACAGCATACCGCTGGGTCTGTGGTGGGCGTTGGTCACCATGACGACGGTCGGTTATGGTGACATGGCCCCCAAAACCTACGTGGGAATGTTTGTAGGAGCATTATGCGCATTGGCTGGTGTAAGTATTCCTACTTATTATCTATTTTTACAGATCACAACAAAGATATCGTCTTTTATTTATCTTGTTGATGTAACTATACTCTGGTCAAATTCGATGTAGAATGTTTAATAACAAAACGTTGCTAGGCTTCAATGCTTATTATTAAGGCCAGCTCTGCCCAGGACCTTTTCGCGTAATTAGAATATAAATAGGTAGGTATTGGGTCATGTAGAAGTAATACTTACCTAGCTAATTATTGTAAAGTTTACAAAATACCTATTGATACGTGTGATTTAGGAATAAACGTAAGTTTTTGCATCCTATTAATATTTACTGCTAGATGGTAGGTAATGGTAGATGAAAAGATACAAAATTATAAGATTTTGTTTGATATTAATTTACTACATTATTATTATTATTATTATTATTAGGATGGCTTCATTCAGGGCCTATGCATCCCCTCATCACTGCGACCATTGACTGATCTATTGTGAACACCACTAATTATAATGCACAGCCAAGGGCGACAGCATTGAAAAACTGAAGGACTTTCCTGGCTCCGACAGATTTAATGTCCTCTGGTTGTGGCATGTGCCTTCCCAGTACGGAGCTTAATACGCCCATCAGCGAGTAGCATTGGGTAAGTAAATGAACAGGAGTTTCATCCTTCGTATGGCAGAATCTATATTCTCTATTTTCTCTCTGCCTAATATTTGACATGAGCTTGTTTAAGCCACAATGCCCTGTTAAGGCTCTAGTGAGCATTCTTATGCCTTCCAGTCCAGTGACAGAGCTTCTCTACAGTGTTTGGCACTGTAGGCAGATATCAGGGCTTTTGAATGCTCAAGACCCTTGTTCTGTAGCCACGCATCTCGGAAGAGGTGTGTGCTCTCATTTAGCAGAGTGAGCTTTGCTAGGCTGTATGTTATCCCTATGAAGTGTTCGGGTCCAACAAAGGTTTCCCTAGCACCAGCCTTTGCCAGTTCATCCGCTGACTCATTACCCTCGATGTCAGTGTGGCCTGGAACCCAGCGCAGTACCACTGTATTACTTTCACCGAGAGTGTTCAGTGTATTTACACAGTTCTCTACAATCCTCGATGTTTGGGTGACTAAGGCTAGTGCATGAAGAGCTGCTTGACTATCTGAGTTTATGTAAATATGCTTGTCAACGTAGCCTCTCTTCAGGTTCAAATCGCATAAGTAATTATGGCGTACACTTCGGCCTGAAAGATAGAGGAGTGTCGTCCCATGTTCAGCCTACGTTGGGTCCCATCTTAGACCCATCGGTATACCATAGAAAGCTACCGTCCTTCCAGGTGAGACTGTTAGTTTCCCAGTCCTCCCTAGTTGGATTATACCTGGTAGAGTTTTTAAAGTTTTGTTTGGGAAGCATGACATCAGAAGTCATCCCAGAACCGAGTGTTCCAGAATTGAGTCTTGGGCTGATCTCAATGTCTGGGAGAGCCATTTACTCCTAAACCTAGTGGTAAGCCTGTACATGCTGGTACTGGCCTCCCTCTGTATGAATAAATGCAGAGGAGTCAGGTTCAGCAATGCATTTAGCTTTGGGCTGCCGCAGGTGTAGTGGACATGGCTCCCGTTGCTAGCAGGCACGCGATGCGCTATAGACTGCGCAATGTGACAATTGTGGTTGTTTGGCTGACTTTAGCACTCCAAGCAACAGAGGCGTAAGTCACTGGGGACCTCACAATTGTCTTATATAACCATCTTTGGTTTTAGACCACAACGCTGTCCCGCCATACGGCTACAGATACAAGGTTAATGTTTTTGTTATAAACAATGCTCTGGGTCTACCGCTGGTAAGTTGATTTACAACACCAGTGGACTGGCGTTGTAAATCAACTTACCAGCGGCATTGAGTCCCATTATGTTTGTGTGGTTAACCCAGGGTTCCTGAATGAGGGCGACATCCACGTTGCCTTTCGCGAAGCAACACTCCACCACAGCCGTTGTAGCCACGGCATGGTGGAGGTTGAGCAAACCCTCACCCTATCCCCGTGGGCTCCGTCTAGCGGGGGTTGAAACCCTGGCCGCGTTGCTGCTCCCGACTGCTACGAGGAGGACGAGGCCATTCTCGTGAGCCACGCGGGTTGGCAGCCCCACGCCATTGCACTCCTCCACGTGCCGAACTGCGGCCACGTGGGTTCGGTGCCGAAAACCACGGTCGTGTATGTGTACCGTCATTTTTATTTGTATTCGAGCCGCCCCAGTATTGGCACTTATTAATGGCTGCGCTGTTTGCACTACACTCAGGACAGCGGGTGCTGTCCGAGTATGCCCAGCCTCCCGTCCGCGATTCTTCTGGGGCGATGCACCCAGAGTCGCAGACGGGGCAGCCCCGTTGCGTTTCCCCTGGTCCGTGGAAGACGGGCCAGGCGCAGACACGTGCGCTGAGGCTCCCGGCCCCGATTCTTCGAGCAGACTTGTAACCGACCCTGGTTTTGAGACCAAGACACCCCGTGCAGTGTCGCCACTGAACGTGCTTTCAGGACCTCCTTGATCCTAAACGTGACCTGTTTAAAACCAATGTGTGCTCGTCAATTTGAGGCACGGAGATTCTCCACAGATGGGTCATCAAGAGCGATCGCGACTACCTATCCATTCGCATCTTCCCTTGTGTGAAGAACCTTCCACACTTCTGTGCAGAGGCCTCTATTTTGGGCCTTCCAGCAGGCTGATGGCCATCTGCACTGACTCACATCTCTTCTTGGGAATGTAGATGCTGGCGGCAGGGCGGTAAAAGCTCGTTCTCCTCAATCAAGTATAGCTAGGCTTCCGGCCATGGCTTGAAATTGTCGATCTTTCCCACAAGCCAGTCTGTACTTGCTTGGTCCTTGCAGATCACAAGAATCCCAAGAAAACAAGAATCACAAGATTCCGGTCTGGCTTGTGAGAGAGGCCCAGGAACTTCGGTCCCTCGCCATGCGATGTAGTACTTGCTATGGTACGGACCAGGAACAGCTCCACTAGCTCCATTTGCTCCTCTGACATGGGTTCCGAATTCCGGATACCCACGCGCAGGGAGCCCGCCATTTCGCTGAAAGTAGGTCTGTCCCTGCTTTCAGCTGGCGCCATGGTCCTGGGAGCCTTCCTGACATGCTCCTGTGACGACGCCACCTCTGACCGTTCACACTTCTGTGCTTTTGGTTTTGGAGGTGGTTTGGACACTGGAAGATCACTCCAGGGCTTTCCAGATAGAGGCAGAGCTTCTGCGTAGCTCATACCTGTTCTCATCAGGCCCTGCAGTCTCTTTCGGCGAGACTCGCTTAGCCGAATGCGCGGCTGAGCGCTGAATTCCGACACCAGGGGCTCCGAAGAACCCGCCTGGTTTGTACCCATAGCCGTGACCAAAGTCACGCCGTTGTTGCTGGGTGGACTATCCATCTCAGCAATCGTTTCCTCCAAGGAAGAAATTAAATTAACTTGCTACATATTATGTCATCCAGCATCTATTTCCGATTCAGAACTTGAATTACCACCAGAACTCGAATGTTTGCAATCTCTCCCTTCAAATCAAAAAGCCACTAAGGATGACAAAGTGTTACAAATAATGAACTACTGGCCTTTTTTTGTCATTTTTAAGTGATTTGAAACTTCTGTTGAATAACATTCATTATAAACATGGCTTCAATATTTAGTATTATTCATAACCTAGTTGAATTTCCGAGGAAAATATTGAAATTGTATGGTAACTGTGAAAGAGTCTGAGACGAAAACCCTAAAAATCATATATTTTCGTTTGTTGACTTTATTTTACATCGAATTTGGCGAGAGTACAGATAATCCATTATTTTTTTAAAACGTTAAAAAAGTTCATCTCGCTCGATTCGCAGAAGACTAAAGATTTGATATTAATTGAAGCAATTTTTGCTTCAAATTTCTTTTACATTATGTCATTCAGATCTTCGCGATGCGACGGCCATAAAAAAGTCTTTCGCTTTTTTTCTGTAAATAATTCACAATAGCTTCGTCATATTTCCCATTCTTAACCAAAATTTGAATAATCTATTGTTATTTAAATTATTAAGGAACGTCAAATACAAGGAAGACCTCGGTTGCCTTCCGGAATATAAATTGGAAACGTGTTAACGTTAGAGGTTCTATTAAATTGTGAAATGAATATAAATTAATTATAATTGAGAAATTGCTTTTATCAATGACGCCTTTAATGAGTCTTAGTTATGATTGGAAATTATTATTTGAAGAACAATAAATTCTAACTTAAAAATACAATGTACAAATAACTGTTCATTTGACTGTACATCATTATGAATAACAATATTTCATTTATAATACGAGAAAGAAACATTTAATCTTTTTTCATAAATATATACAGGTAATATTATAATTTCATTCTAATTTTTTTATCATAAAGACATTTTTACGTCATTATTATTCACCAAGCTCTCGAAGTTTGATACGTATAACAAATTGCCTAATTTGCAAATTAATTTGAAAATACCCATCATCAAACGTCCAATTGCTGGGGACTTGCTTCATCTAAGTAGAAGGTTTAGGGTAACGCTGGTCGAATCCGAGTAGGCGACTTCACATATTTTCCAAAGGTTGTGAGCCTTTCAAGATGTTTTTCAAAACCGTTACCAAGAAATGTTACTACTAGACATCCACAAATGTACGTAACTTAGAAAATCTCCCCACAGAGGTACCACCACTGTTAAAAAAAAATTTTGTAAATTAACAGGACTCAATTGGCAATTTTATACACAGCTCCTAGCTAAGCCAGGGCTTCGTCACTCGATCAAGGTTACACAATAAGTGCCTACCGTCGGCGCAAACGCTCATTTATGAGCATTTGGCTCTTCACGACTGCACACGATGGGCAACCTTATATTCACCACTCTGAGCACGTGCTTAGGTTCCTTTTTCCTCGTAGTGAACGCCTGGTGTCATTAGCCAGATTAAGTAGGCCATTATAGCGTAGGTATTTTCGATTTTGTATGAGAGTGATGTATCTGATACGTAGTAACTATTAATTAATCTGTGACTAAGCTATCGTAGTTATTTGTCGTCTACGACGACTTTTGAAAAAAGCTATAAATCTGAGCTACGAGCTGTATGAACTATGTGTCAAATATGTTGTTAACAATACTGTCATACGTATAAATCTCTTCACTTGCCGCTATCATGTCGAGTTAAGTCAGACAGAAGGTACACATGGAATTAACGTCATGGATAATTATGTAAAGTAAAAAAAAATTCATAAACCCACAGGTATTAACGATTGCGTTACCCGTGCCGGTCATCGTATCCAATTTCGCGATGTACTACTCGCACACTCAAGCTCGAGCCAAGCTGCCCAAGAAGAGGCGAAGAGTGATCAACGTTGAGCCAACTAGGCCACCAATACGTGAGTATTTAATAAGTGAGACAAAGAAAGAACGAGGTGAGAGAAAGAGATGAATAGATTTATGAAGATATGGAAGGCCATAAAAGATTGAATGAAAGTGCAAACGAAAACAAGGAAAACAAAAGATGGAAAAGTAAACAAAAAATATGTTTTCAATAACGTTTTTGTACAACAGTACCACTACACTAATGTTTATATTCCAAATAGTGACATACATGTACATATAAAACAATATAGTTGACACAATGAATGTTCTTTTGTACAATTTTACCAATACTAAATGATTTTTGTTTTATAATAAAGCAATCCAAAATCCCAATACTAGAGCTCGATTTAACTAAAATACATATTTAACCAAGACAACATATTAAGAAAACGCGTTATACTTCTATGAGCAGGTGCCCCGGGCGCACAGGGGGTCCCCGGCGGGGGTCCAATGGCCCCTGGAATGGGACCTCAAGCGGTCAATCGGCGAATGAACGCCATAAAAACCAATCATCCTAAGGACATGATGGGACCTAACATGGGTAAGAAAAAAGAGTAAAATTAAATTTTTAAAAGTTTGTTGGTGAAATTTGAGTCAGTTTTATAAATTAAGTTTGCATAGTTGATACAACTGATCTATACACATGGTAGTAACTGGTTCGTTGCTCTCAACTTGGCCCATTTTTCACATGCATGTTTTTGAGGATATTTGAAGTTAAATGAGATATCACATAATTATGTGGACTAAATATAGGTTTCAACTTGAGTCCTTAATTGAAATAACAATTGTTAAACTTAAAAATACACTTAAGCTTTATCAAGATATTGAAACAAAATCAAGATTTGATAATGTGTTGATTTTTTTGTACATTCAACATAAGCTTACAAAAAGTCAATACAAGCGCAACTACACGATTTAACCTTCACATGTTTCGTGTAGTAGCAAAATTCTATACTTCCATTTTTTCTACTTCCAACACCTGAATCTATACAATCAAGATTGTCCTGAACTTCAGTTTCCAATTTATACCATGTATAACTGAATTTATGAAACTGGTTAAAATTTCATCCTGTCTAGGAAGCTACAAATAAATTTACCAGAAAACAGAATACCTCAAATGAAACTTCCTGAAGCTTGTAAAATGTTTGTAGTTTTGCCTAAAACCACTTTAAAAAAAACTAAAGCATTTTGCCCAAGTTGACATGACTTCTGTACAAAGACTTGAAGGCTGATTCATATCTTAAGACATCAAAGCTCAGAATTAGTCTTCACGTACCACTAGTAATAGTAAGCACTGAGTGTGTTGTTATATCACAGTGATAGAAAAATAGACTAAGATATTTAATTCACATTTAGGTCATCACAATTCCACAAGGGAAAGTTACACTAACAGCGATGCCTAATAAACTAACCAATAACAAAACTAATAAAATCATTCCATGCCATTTAACTTAGATGTGGCGGAAAAAGACATTGTCAGTAAATAGCTGAAAGAAAATAAAAATGGATTCAATAAGTTTTTGCAAATTCTGAAGCGCTCAAAACAATGACTAACAATGTCTGCTTGTAATTGACTTTAGCCCGCGCGCAACTAAACAGCTGAAGTATATAGCAGAGGCAGTGTATGTATAGAATTCACAATCAGGAAATGACAAGTCCTTGAATCAGCTGAATCACCACGTAAATTGAGGATATAATGTAAAACCACAGAAAGTTAAACATATTCCAATTCAATAAAAATAGCGTCCTGATTCATTCCGTCTGTACTTGGACACCTTAAGGGACACAACTCACGTGATTTGTACATAACATTAAGGTAAAGTTATAAAATGTTGCGCCCGGACTATTTACTAATAGGTACTCACTGTACTAACCATAGCTTATGCAATGTAATCCTCCACAGATGGCGATCGTAGCGAGCTTGAAGCTATGATCCAAACAACACCAAACAACTGCAAAAGAAAAAACTTGAACATGCTTTAGAAAGCGACACTCATGGGTCTCCGAAAAGGCTTAATATATCGCCTGCACACACGGAATTAGCTTACAGGAATGCTACATCTGAATATATAGGCACTAATCATTCATCATCTATGCACATAAGGCAATAACTTCAAGCAGCACGAAGGAACCACCGTCTAGGTCCCTTTGCTTCGTCGGTCAGATAAGAAGGTTCGAGAAATTTTATCAATGTTGTGTGGAACCCTGACCTGTGTTTTGTTGTTGCTTTTGCTTCTCCTAAAGTCGATGTTGTCTTAGAATAGAGAGTAATTTACTAATGTACCTATTGTTTTTATTTTGTATAGTGTTTTAAGTTTTCTCTTTTATAGTAAGCTAAGTAGGTTTGAATTTTTTTTTTTGGGGAATTCTTTCAGGAAATCATCTCCGTACAGCATACTATCCAAACAATATACCTCAATCGCCAAATCTACAGACCAACATTGCGGTACACTTTAAAAATCCAGTTTACAATTACAGCACAGCACTAACATTCTCTCCAGCTTTGTCTGTGTTGTTTTTCGGTGTTTTGTTAAGTGATAATTCAAGAATGTAGTGTTTATATTAATTGTGACAGTCGTGTTAAGCTTAATAACAATGGCATTCTATTTGTCCTATCTATCATCAAATAATTTAATTTTGTAATCATTTAGTGACACTTCAATTGAGACTAACAAAACATTAGTTTACAAACAATAGTCAAAACAATAGTCCTTACTTTGAAAATAACAAAGCATGCTCCTTACATGTTTTAATCTCCTTTCTCTTTCATATCTATTTGATATCTATATCTCTCTTTCTTTTTCTAACAGTCGCAAGCCTGATGCCGGGTATGGATCTGTCTGTTACCACACGTCTGACTCCAAGTCCTCGAGATATGAGTCCGGCTCTCGCTATAGCAATTCCCATGATGAAGTCAGTCAACCTCGTACCTTCACAATGCTTTGATAATATGGCATTCCATAGTGAGAAACAAGAAAATCAAACAAACTCAACTAATAAAGGAGACAGTAAGAATACAAGTAGACAAGAATCTACAGAAAGCGACAACACAGTAAGAGTAAACAATTACAAAAACGAAAATTACATCGACAAAGAAGAAAAAGTTGATGCAAGAACGCCTTTATTGCGAGACCATAAGATTGAATCCCTGGATGAAACAAAATTAAGAGAAAATAAAACTGAAAAAAGAAAATCTTCGGCTTCGACATAACGGTTAAGAGTAGGGATCGAAATTATTGACCAATAGAACTAAGATTAAAACTTTGCTAGTCAAAACCATGTGACAAATAGCGGCAAACAAAGAACGTAAAATTGTTGTGTTTCTTAAACATTTATAAATACTGTTTGTATAGTTAAGGTTTTTTGGAGTTTTTCATTTAATATACTTTTGTATAAATATACATTCTTATTTAATTCTATTTCTAATCAATGAAACAACTTTGTAAATTCTTTGTTGCATGATTATATTTCTTTCGCAGTTTAATCATCGTAAACATGATTTTTATTAGCAAGGACCTTTACCTGGACTATAACTGTGTTTATATAATCATAAAATATAATGCCTTTATTACTAACGATTACGATTCTATAGCTAAAACTATACTTATAAATCTATTTCGTTGTAAGATCAACTTTGAAGGCCGTGATAGAAATAAGAGGAGTTAGCACGTATTTTATATCTTATTAAATAACACTTATGTACGTATAGTTGCCTATCACAAATAGTATATGAATAAGAATGTTATATATAACTTTATGTACGTAATCATCATATTCACCTATATCGACATAGTAATTAGTGTTAACTATATCTAGTATGTACTTTACGCCCTACTCTTGCAAAAGTACTTGCATTTTCGAATTTGAATACATTTGCAAGTGCAAACCTGTCTGATGTTGGCAATGTCTTTTTTTATCTTAAGTCATTGACTTAAGATCATCATTCCCATAAAATTGTTTTATCAGATGTAAATTATGTCTTCATTTGACATACCCATAATCCGTTATGAGTGCTGTTAAATTCACAGCAGTTTTTAGTTGCTTTTTCTTTGGTTAAAAATATAGAGATAACTGCATCAAATTAGCGTCTACTTTGAATTAACATCTAGTATTAATGTGAACTGCAAGTTCACTGTCCATTAGGAGCGCTTTCTTTTGCATGTCTACAATCTAAATTAAGTAAATTGCAATGTGACTCAAATTGTGAAATCAATTAAAAACTTTAGTGCATCATCCGGGGCGATTATATCGGTTTCATTCTGATCTATGTTTATTAACAGCCCTTATAGTGGTGGCTGCTGTATAGCAATTTTCACGGATATTTTTGTCAACATCCCTCCCAAATTTGACTATGTATGTCAACTCACTATCACGGTAGATATCCCATATTTCAAACTTTCTACCATCATCATTATCCACAGCGCTACTGTTTATATCATCCGCCATGGTTTTGCGCTAGTCTCATCAATCCACTCGGCTGTTGCTACACTTTACTTGTCTCCATGTCTAGCTTCGTCGTCCGGTCTCCTATTTGGATCTAAGTTCGATTTCAAACGTCGATTTATTCATTTAATGCAGAGCATACCACTCTCGATGGCTCTTTGTGCGACTCTCATTATGTACACAGCCTTACGGGTGTGCATTCCTGTCTTGGAATCGTTAGTCACCAAGTCAAGTAACATCAAGTCTGTTTTATTTCCGATTTCGGTTCACAAACAATCTGTGTTGTTTTAATTATGGACTTGTGAAGACTCCAATCCGTATAATTAGTGGCCAAAATCCTCTTGTCAGATGAGGTCCTTGGATTACCATTTTGAAGAAATTTACCTCATGGATTATGAAAACTAAACTCAATAACCTTCACTTTAGAGTCGCATTGTAACAACAATATTTCGACTTAATTTACAAAACTTCAAAGTAAGCCTTTGATAGTAAAAATTGTATATAGAAAACTACATATTTAGTGTTAACAGTTTATATCTTTAATTGTCACTAGCAACATATCATTGGCACGTTTCATTCTTGGTGTTTATAACTTGTATATGGATTAATATACTTAACGTAAATAAGGGTAGATAGAAGCTGAATGATGAAATTTTTGGATTATTTGCTTCTACAGAACATTCAGTCTTTATAAAGAATCGACAATGATAATTTAATGCGTGTAATATGTCAATATTGAATGGAATAGCAAGAAGTGAGAAAAACAACAATTCACTTGTGTATGTCTTGTGTTAGTGTTAATGAAAAGGGATTCTATATAACATTCTTCTGAACTCTGTACAAAGTCATTGCAAGCAAATTCTGTTTGATATCTTGAGGCTTTAAAAGAGTAACGTGGCTATTACCATCATGAAGATTATAATAAAGTGCAAAAGTAAAGGATTACACGCGTTTTGTGGTACATCTAAATCTGTAAACATCACAGTTAATTATCAGAGCATATTTGAGAAAACATAACGCTGTCTTTAAACAAGAACGCTGCATCTCAAAAATAATTTTTCATGAGAGCGATTTGAAATTGAAACAAATTTATTTTTGAAATATTTTTAACAAATGAACGGAAATTTGAATTCTTTTTCGTTGCAATATCAACGTTGGTTTTGAAAGAATCACATGTGTATAAAAATCAGATCGAAAATAAAGGAATTGCACATAAAAAATATAAAAACTATGCTGCGGAATTTGCCTTCTTATTCTGTAGAATAATGGCATATATCTTAATAATCTACTGACACATAAAGTTATTTTATCAATAAAGGCCTTTTCGACTTTGACCTACAAACTTAACATGTCTCTAAACCACACCCTTAACATTTTTGTACTTAAAAACAAAAGCATGAAATATGAAAGTAGTCTAATTTTTGAAAATTTTTACCGATCGGATGAAATATTTGGTAATAAGCCGCTATTTTGAAAAAAAAATAATTAGTACAGCTTATTAATTAATGTTCAATGCCGTGACGTAACTGCCTTTTTTGCCTGCATTTTTTGACGTAAGAACATGGGTGTTTTATTCACGTTAAAGTTTCGCTTGCTCTGCTCGTTGCTGTATGCTTACGAGCAGAGCAAATTTAAATCGTAGTACTTTTTGATTCATGTAGTTCGTACATGGACTACACAACCAGAAATAGACACCAAATAAAGGCCATCCATACCTGGCAACTCATCAGGAAAATGGGCCTTATATCACTTTTAAATATCAACTCTCGTTTGCGCTGAAATCACAAATTAGAAAGCTGAAATAATACAGCGCCAACGGCTGACCTGTGTGTACATCTCCCTATAAAACATGTAATTCAAACTTTCTAAAATTTCTCTAATTTTTTCAATATTCGTCCATTATAGCAAAGCTCAATTTAAACTGGTCGATTTGAAGTGAAATAATTGACGACTCCCGTCAATTGTTTCGAATTCGGGCCGGCCAATCGGAGCGCAGTCGTCACTGTAATAATTTGGCAGAATAATTTTCAAACTAATTAAATGACATTTAATCTCTATTTCTGGTTATATACTGGATTAGTACGTATTATTTTTTATAACTTGTGGATTTATATCCAGGATACGTATTATTGAAATTTAAGTTTTTAGTCAACAGAAACAGCCAAACTGTGATATTTAAAATTAATATGTGGCACGAAACGCCCGTAATCCTAATTAAGCTTTTGCCTAGTAAAATAATCTTCGAAAGTTGCTACGTGTGGGTTCATTTTGTAGTACACTAGATACGAAATTACATTTTTTTATTGCAATTCGAAAAATACAAAAGTAAAAATTGTGGAATATGTTTAATTGAATATAAATAATACTAAATCTTATAATACTTCTAAATCGTTGGGGACCCTGTAATATTTTAAAAAGAAATAAAAATTTGTATGTATTTTTGTTTTTTTTTTGTTCGAAATGGAAGTATCATATCGATTTATAAAATTTTATTATTATGACTATAAAATTTAAATATAAAAATATTGACGAATCACAAATTGTTAAATGTTATCGTAAAATACGCATAAAATGCAATAATTTTAATATTATTATCATATTGTAGTTAGCACGAAACTTCTGTTTATGTCAAATGTACATATTTTAGATATGAGGTATGTAATAATCTTTTTGAAAATAATTGTACCAATTAGGAAAATTAATGGTTGATCACGGATCTATCACTTGATTGAGCTCCTGGTCTATGATAAAGAGTTGAACGTCAATTTACATTGTTGCGTAATGGAATGGAAGCAAAGTTTTACCACCATACCATAACGAACTTTATTTGTACTGTGTAACGTACAAATTAGATACGAACCAAAAAACAGGTCGCACATTCTCGAGAATCCCGGGAATCATCGTATCTAGTTTGTACATTACACAATTGACATGAAGTTTATTATGCTATGTACAACTCCGTTACGACAATACGCTCTTATTCCGTTCCCTTCCGCAGCATTGTAAATTAAGTCTTTTTTCTCTAAAACATAAAAATCGTTATTTATAACATTGTATTTGTTACGAAAAAATGAGATTTATTTATTTGTTTGGAAAAAAAATACTTTTTAATTTTATCACTGTCTTTATTATTCGAAGTGCTATTTGTTACATCTAATTTCACACCTACAAGGACTACTTATCTACTAGATACGAAAATGTATAGGTGAGACCCGAGTCTACCAATCAGCGTGACTTGAACAGACTAATCCGTGGTCTAGTCTTAGCGAAAAGACATAAAGGCCCAGTCCACATGAATTTATTTACAAGTAGAAACGAAAAGGCTGTAACAATAAAATAATATACTAATATAAAAATTACAATACAGCATAATACGTGAAAGATGTGGCTTGAAAAAGGATGTGGTGACTAGAATAGAGAAACGAATGTTGAGGTGGTTTGGGCATGCAGAGCAGATGGATGTAAAAAGGATTACCAAACAGATTTATGATG